TAAAGTTTTGTTACATTGCACCCTCTGTGATAGATTTGTTTTGTTACTTTTTCTGTCAAAAACCAGATAAAACTCATGAGTAGCCCCTTTTGAACAGATGTGTGCACTGACCAGACACAATCATTCAGTTTTTTGGGCTTTAATCAAGCCTTTTATATTATTCAGAACTGATTCTCAGGCATGAATTTTTTTCATATTCTGTACATACCTTGAATATTTTTATTGGAAGATTGTTATTTTTATATATCTGTATATGAAAGACTAATATCAGTATTACTGATCTATTAACCCTTATCCTGCCAGCCCCATGTACTTTTACATTGACTTGGCCAGACAAGAGTTACTTAATGACAAAAAAGTTAGAAAAATCCAGCAATTTATTTGCACAGAAGTCTTTACCTGAAAGAGAAGTATTTATAACAATAGACAACATCCATTACTTTTTTCAATTTTATTTTCAAAATATCTTTAGGAAGCAGACAACATTCAATCTTTAAAAACAAACAATTATACTTCTTCCATATTGACAACTCCCCCCCCCCCTAAATACAATGTGCATAAATAATTTTACTCAAAATTCATTTTTCGTGTACAAAGATGAGATCAGAAGAAACAGCTGATTTATTAGGAGAAAAGGCCAGTGTTGCAGAGGAAGAAGCGCTACTGTTAGCCCAGAAGGCAACGGAAGCCGAACAAGAGACGCAACGGATAAAAATGCAGGCCATTAAGGTTAGTATTGTGTGAACACATTAAATATTCACTGTGTTTTAATTTTGCAATTTTTGCTGATAAGTGAAATCCGCTGTTATAAAATTAAAATCTGTGAATTTAAAACCCAACGAATGAAAATAAATATAATGAATTTAAATACCTGTGAAAATTAATACTTCTACAGTATATCATCAACATGTACTAATACTTTTATTATGTGATTAATCAGTCATGAAGTCGTTTGGTTCAGAAATACAAATAAATAAACCCAAATTAAAATAGTGACAAGACATATTTATACTGTTATAGAACTTGAAATTGGCTGAAAATTAATATGTGATTAAATTACTGTAAAAGGGTTAATTATTCACTGGGTTTTAAAATTTCGCAGACTGAAGAATGCGCTTAATTAAAACCCAGTGAATATGTAAAATTTAGCATAGAACACATTATCTAAAAGATAAAACCGTGAATTTAAAACCCACTGAATATGCCTGAAATGGTAAATCAGCGAAATTTAAACCCAGTGAAAATGAGTCATTTTACAGTACTGTATTTTGCTCTGTTATTAACATTTGACTGGTTAATATTTATGTATTTTTTTTAATAGTCTGAAGAAGAGAAGATGTTGATGGAACAGAAAGCCTTGGAGGCTGAAATGATTGCTTCTAAGATAGCTAAAGATTCTGAAAGAAGGTAAACTCTATAGTCAAACCATAATTCATTCCAGTAAGCAAATTATGTGATTCTTGATAGATAATTGTATCTCATAGGAATGTATTTACTAGTTTAAACTGAGTATCATATTTGCTCTTGTTGCTGAAATCAGCGAGACATATTTGACATTTTACAATGTATATACTGACAGAGGTACATTACTTGCGGTTTGCAACGCGCATAGTTCTGTATGGTAACATAATGTCAAGATCCCATTCAAGTTTCACCTCGTAGATAGCGAGACTGATGCTACGACTTTCTGACATGACATATATCGAAGTTCTACAATTGTAATAAAATAATAAAACATGTCTTACCACTATCATAGTGAAAAAACGTAATACATCGAAAATGTACAGAAAAATAGTTCTCGTAATATGTCATATTGCGAGCAGTTATTTTGATCCATCTGGATCTCTCAGTATACTAGTTACCTCGGGCATTCGCATTGTTCTGAGTTGGGAACGCTTATGCGAGGGCGAGATTGAAACAAGATCTTGGTATCATGTCACACTACTTGCAAACCCAAGTAATGTACCCCTGATACCGATGAATGTATTTACATAATCATATCATACTCTGACATCTTATGACATTCAGGCTCCTTGATATGTTGAAAAAAACTTCTTTCAAAATTTCTGTCTGACAGAGATGCCTACTATTCGACGGTGTTCTAGCTCAAATCAGGTCAAAACAAGCCATTTCTAGGATATTTTCTTTGACCAATCACAGACCTGTATCACATAGAGGCTACTAATCAGTGTATAATGCACCAACATTTTGCATTGTCTGCCAGAATCAGCCTGCAGTTGCTTTCATAGGTTCAATGGTTCAGTTTTATACTCCTTTGTTCCAAACTACATCATATGAAGAATAAACGGTGTTGAGTTTATACTACATTTATGAGACATTGCGTTTATCTACGGTAGTCCATAAGTCAAGCCATTCGGAAATGTATGATCTCAAAACTAAAATTCACTCATCAAGCCACATCTCTATTAAAGTGCAACTCTCACATACGAATATTTATTATATACTGGATTCTTAATACATTGCCAACTGATATATTTAGTTTTGTCAATGTTTTTAACAATGTTCATTTTTCAGGAATAAAGAAGCTGATCAACTAAAAGAAGAATTAATCCGAGCAAAAGAGGCTGAAAAAAGTGCCAAAAACAGATTGATTGAGATAACTAGAACGACCTGGACGGTAAGAATTGTGAATTGTGGTTGTATCAATACAAATATATACAAAATGTATACAACTATATCTTGACAAGATCACATGACTATATCTTGACAAGATCACATGACTATATCTTGACAAGATCACATGACTATATCTTGACAAGATCAC